CCCCAAAACCCCAAAACCCCAAAACCCCAAAACCCCAAAATGTCAATTTTTTTGCAAAGATTTAATAAATATAAAAATGGAAACTTTATCTAAATCTTCAGAAGTGTTTACTAAGCTTGGATGTCTTAGTACAATCATCTCTTTTGCAGGCTTATGAAAGGAGACTCATCAGTTCTTGGCCCTAAGTTGTAGAGAAATAAACAACTTCTATCTGGAATGGTTGCCAAAGTTGGAAAAGAAAAATATGAGTTCCCTTACTCTTGAAGAATCTTGCCTTTATTCCCAGGCTTCAATTAACCATGACCAAAGGTTTGCCTGGGAAGTCAAGATCTTACTAATCGAGAGACTTGAAGAAGAGACAGTAGAAATATTACTTAAAACATGATTCTGGAAGCATTATATGTAAGTTAGAATAACCATACATTTTGATTATGCTAAGAATTTAATGGTTAAAAAGTTAAAGCTTATTTAGAATACTGTTTAATTCCGTATATAGACTTGACCTTACATTTTGGAATGCTAGCACAATACAGAACATGATAGAAATCATATCTAGATCTGAAGAATTCAATTCAAACAATATACATCAGATCAGGGTCAGATGGCAAAACAATGAAGAATTCCAACAAGCCTGGGGTGAGTTTTGCGATGAGCTGGCATTGAGAGAGATAGATTATAGAAAACTGAAGATTCACTACTTTCAAGATCAAATGTACAAAGAAGATGCTAAGAATCCTGGAAAGGGAAAATACTTGCTAATGCTTACCAAGGCAGCTCATTTTAAATAAAATGAAGACCAAGACACTGCATCACATTGATTCAATGACCTTAACGAAATGGAACCAGATTAAGTCTCTTTTAGACGATTGAAATTGGAGAGTAAACCAGCTCCATTTATCTGCTTCAAATCTTCTAAATTTTGCTCAAATAGGAGGTTTAAAGAAGAGCTGATTGGATTATATTAATACACTCTTCTTTTCTATTGATCTGCCATACTCAGACACAGACCTTGGTATCTTGGCTTCCTTTACAGCATTGTTTAAAGGGGAAAAGAAAATCAATGTCTGAGTTGAGCAAGCAGAGGAAAACATAGAGGCTGTATTCCATCACTTTGGAGAAAATTGCACAATAACACTTCCAGGAAAAGAACACTGCATAATTGAGAATTGAGAAATTTATTACAAAAGAAACTCAATATTTTACAGATATACAGCTGAAAAGTTGCATCTGTCGATCCATTCAGATTGATTTTGTAAAAACACAGTTGAAAGCCCTGACTTCATAAGTCTCAGCTACTCATGTGACTTTGTCCCTTCTGGGAGTGATAAAGGGAAAATAGAAACTTTACAAACTCCTGACCAAGATGTTTTAGAATATTTTTCCAATAGTATTAGGCAGACAAATTTTATTGCTTTGAGAAACAAAAATTTATCCACTCATCTAATTATGAGGAGAGGTAGTTGAAAATGTCACTTTGGATATCTAAATATTACTAAAGTAGGATCCTTATACATAACGCACAACCAATGGACAAATGAGGACTTGGAGGTCTTGAGTCTTCCAAAGCTCAATAGAAAGACCATCCTCTGATTATCTGTTCACAACAGGATGAACTTCAGCCAGATCTTAAATTCCTCCTATTTCCTCAAATTCTCTAGAATCCAGATTGAGATGGCACTGAAAAGGTTAGGTGTTGATCTAAAATTCTTTGGAGCCAAACTAGAAAGCTTGTATAATGAAAAGAAGATGAAAGAGATAATTTTCAAGATCTACATACATCCAAACCTCCATTACACAATAGTTCTGCAAAGAAGGTACAAAGAGTTCTGGAGGGAGTTCATTGATAACCTAGCAACTTGTGAGAGTCCTAAAGCTCTGAAGGAGTTACTCCAGAGGTATTATAAGACTTATAATCCTCTGTGTGTCTTTCAGATTCCAAAATTCTCTTAAGATAGAGATATCTGGGAATTTTTAATTGAACCCAAGAGTGCACTCAATTAGCCATTTATATATCGGGGTTTTGGGGTTTTGGGGTTTTGGGGTTTTGGGG